ACTACTTCTTGCTTTGCACCTACAGCATTGCAACATTCTCCTCAGACGCCGACCTTTACGCACTTCTTAAGACCGCTAATCACGCTGGATTTTATGTAATCATTGTACAAGAAACGAAAAGCAGTAAAACGGACATAAGACAAATTTATCACGAAACTATCGTTATTCGTGTGCCAACGCTCCCGCCACAAAATGTTAGAAGCGTCGCGTTTGTCGTTCACTCATACGTCTTTCCTTTAGTCGTTTCGCGTAAAGCTCTATCACCGCGCCTGGCTATCCTTCGCCCTCAACTTTCACATCATAAACTTAGTATTAACATATGTACTAAACAACTTCTGCAGCTAATGAAAGCGACATAGACCTATCCTGCAACAAGTTGTAGAAAGTCGACAGCAATAAGAAGTCCTACAAACTCGTTATTGGAAACTTTAACGCCAGATTGCGAACGGCCGGCGAAAATGAAAGTATACCCAATATGTGGAGTACTGTGCAAAAACGTTTGCGTCAGCCGGGATTCGAACCCAGATCTCACTCTTTCCGGGAGCGTATGTTAAGCATTACACTACCAACGCTTGTTTTGCACAGCACTCTTATTTACGCTATAACGCGTTGTCTGCCAACAGCCAACCGTCGACGGTCTGGCGGGGCAGCCGCTATCGGCATTGAACCCACTTGTGTTGACAAACTTGAATATCGAAATTTAGTCCAAATTCCTTCTATTTCGACTGCCACTTGCAGTGTTATGATGTTATGGTATACCCAATATGTGAAGTACTGTGCAAGAACGTTTGCGTCAGGCGAGATTCGAACCCAGATCTCACTCTTTCCGGGAGCGTATGCTAATCATTGCACTACCGACGCTCGTTTTGCACAGCACTCTTATTTACGCTATAACGCGTTGTCTGCCAACAGCCGACCGTCAACGGTCTGGCGGGGCAGCCGCTATCGGCATTGAACCCACTTGTGTTGACAGACAAAGGATATCAATATCTAGTCCAAATTCTTTCTAGCCGATAGCGGCTGCCCCGCCAGACCGTCGACGGTTGGCTGTGCCGATAATTGTGGGAGACCCCCAATGACATGACTCATGGAGAAATCAGTAAATACTTACAAATAGAAAATGATGTCTTTTTGACTTATGAGTGGTACTAGGATTCTGCACGGGATCTGGTCACCGCTCCTGCGTGCGAGGATTCGATTGAACCATAAGCTGGAAACGAAGTGTTGTCATTGTTCAAGAAAAGCAAAAAACAAGCCGTGTACAGGAGGATGTTCTTACTAAAAACCCTCTCTTTATACGACTGGCAGATAAATCGAGACCCGACCACAGTTAACGAAGTGCTTGTCAAAGGAATGTTGCAATCGCATCTCCACGTCTACCAAAGGGTTGCTTAAAAAGGTAAGAGAACTGAGGCTTGAGACTTCAGCAACACAACTAGTTAGGCTGACAATCAAAGTCAGCTGCAGAAGCCCTTGCAGGAGGATCTACTTTGGTATAAGCAGAAAAAGTTATTAAAAGAAGTACAAAATTCGTGTAGTCTAAAGAAATGTTGTTGGCTTTGCATCTATCATGTTCCGCTATCCGTCCTGATGAATAGAGTTGGGATCATTACTACATCCCACCATGTTATGGATTCATTGGAAAGTTCTATACCGATCTTATCCGTTTTCTAACTGCCGTCTCGGACCCTAAAATCCCCACTGGTGGGAAATCACCCGAGATTCTAACCTCTGATGCTTCAATTGCGATTGGAAGCACGAAGGGACGTACAGCTCCGCGATGCTTGTGCTTCTGGGAAGACATGATATCATATCTTCAAAAGGAAAAGATTTCATAGCGGTAGAGGACACAGCGCACAGTCATCCTACATGAGAACAATAACAACAGTTACCTTCGTAACTACCGCTCCATGTACTTGTTGAGTGTGCTATTTTACAAACTCTTCACGAAGATGATATCGAAGGCCTTGGTTGAGGCACGGCCAGTTGAGCAAGCAGGATTCCGTAAGGGATTCTGCCGCATGGAGCACATCCATGCTGTGTCGCGGATCTCTGAAGTCTGTCGGCAGTACCGTATGCCTCTCGTTGCAACATTTATTGACTACGAGAAAGAGTTTAGTGCCGAAACGAGTGTAATCCTTTCACCGATCGTCGACCAAGGTGTAGACCTATCCTATATAGGAACATTCGCAGATTGTTGTCTAAACTGCAGTAGGAAAATTCGTCTCTTTCATTGACCCCTCACTTTACCCATCAAAAAAGAGGTTCGACAAGACGACACTATTTCCCCAGAGGTGCTTACCGCCGCGCTGCAGTAAATTATGAAGTCACTCGATTGAGACGAAAAGGCATACGCATTCATGGTTATAGAACCTTTTTTTTTGCAGACGACATCATCATCTTTTGAAAAGTGGCAGAGGCGATGCTACTGGAGCTCAATGATGCGCGAAAAATTTTAATACTTCCTCGGATACCTGGACGACCCGTCATCACAAGTTATGCGGACAGTAACACATTTTCCATTCGTCTCTTCTCCTCTTATTCCATTTTTTTTCTTTTCTTCTCTTTTTTCTTCTTTTCTTTCTTTCTAGGAAGATAACACACGAACAGACGAAGAAAAAAAATTGAGGTACGCATATACAGGACAAAGACACAGTTTATAAAGAATACGTTTGTCCGAAGGTGAGCAAATCGAGACGGACGTTTTCTCTGGTCAAGGAGACCACCTCATACGTGTACCTTCGACGCTCACTAAACAAAGACAACAACATGAAAGAGTAACTAGGCAGAAGAAGGAAAGCAGGATGGTCCGCATTCGGCTCTTCTGAAGGTTAATGCTGATGGTTCATACAATGAATAGTGCTGTTGAGCAATTTTGATTGCTTGGTTAATAAATATGGTGGTTATTGCGCAATCACTGTGATAAGAATCAAATAAAGTGATAGTAAATCCAACAACGGCAGCAAAATAGCGATAATAAAAGAAACGAATTGCAGAAGCCCAAACCTGTCATGAATAGAGCTGCCATAGTATACATGGTGTGGCTCCAACAGATGTCACGCAGGCATCGGTCAATAATGACGCGGCAACCGCACTGTGCAGAGATATAGGCGCACACCAGCGGCAAGCGTAAGGTCGGCAGTGTATGATTTACTCAGCAAAGAGTGGTGAAATATTTAGTGGCATCGTCAAAAGATCGAGAAACGGAGAGATAAAGAGAAAATGAGAGTGCGCGGCTGGGCACAGTGCAAGAAACCCACACTGTTCAAACAGTCACGGCGACCGACAGCAGAGATACAGAGCACTTCAAAATGTGGCACCAGCCATGATAACTCAACGGTCAGTAGAAGTCGATGTTAATAACAGAAGAAAGACAGAGATAGAGAGAAAGGAGGCTTCTCACAAGGAATATACAAGAATAAAGTGCCTTTTAATGAACTAGTAATACAAATCTTCAGAGCAGTAATCGAAATAAACGCGCCTGAATCCTGTCATAATTGCGCATATTCTCAAGTTTTTCGATGATTTCTTAGGTCATTTCATAAGTTTTGGCACCAGAGCAATAAGCACCAAATTTAGTATCCACAGGTAAAAAATTTGCATGCTTCTAAAATCGCTCAACTGCACATTTCTTGTAAATGGTTTGGTGTACAACTTCCCTATGCTTGCTTGCATTGAAGCGGTCTTGAGAAGAAATTTGCCTGCTACTCATGCACGAATGGCGAGTAGGGGAATATGCTAGTGAAGCAGCGCGCAAGATTATTGAAGCTTGGAGTTATGATACGGTTGCAGAAAAGACGGCTAGGAAGTGGTTCATATAGCTCTCAAATCTCGAAAGTTTTCACGATGTAATTGGTTTTTTTCGAAAGGTTATCATAGAACGTTGCAAGAGCGAAAAGAAAATTGCATTTCACCGATAAAATGTTGCCGCGGCGCTTGTATGTCATAGGTGGTTTGTCGGTAAATAAGGACAATTGTCTGGAAGGTTTGACGATCGGCGTGATTGATGTGTTAACTGGTCCCACCTCCAAGTAGGGTAATTGAACATTTATCTACATAACAATACTACTAACTTAACGAGCAACAGCGATAATAACGATCTAAGGTCGATACATGGCTCAGTGGGTTTGTAGGACTGCTAATGATGATAACAATACTGCGAGAAGTGATGTGGGAAGTTTTTGTAAAAAGTAATAGTGAAAGAGTGTGTGCGAGTGATTATAGAAATGCACTAGAAAGTAAGTATTTTCAGTGGTTCGATACGCTAGACGACGATCACATGATTATTACTATGACAATATAGAAGGCCTCTTCTATAAACGTGAGAAATGTGAACTTGTGGAGAACAGTCTACAATATAGGAGACACTGTGATGTGGCCTAAGTGAGAGCCACAGTTCGGACAGACAACATACGGTTAGCATTCGGTAGCATTAATGAAGATATAATAAGCATTGATCTTTTCTTATAGTAAACCTAAGCCTCCAAGCACAAGGATGAGTTCAATACGGTACACATACCGCAGTGAATTCTACACAGCGCACGCAATACGGTATAATTACTGCAGCGCATTCTATACAATGCAACGTAAAGACGCACACGAGTAAACAGGGCAATGGCCATTGAGTAGAGGACAAGAACGGCGATTACAACTCGATGGATCTACCTAGTAGTTAGATCAAGTCGTCGTCACCAGCTAAAGTCACTAGAGTTTCTAGTACTGACTAATTGTGCCCCTCCATTCTAATCAGAGTCTATGAAATCGATGGTATATAAGGGAGTGGCTAATAAGCAAGGAGATCAACAATAAATGAGGGACACTAACGTTGATGATGATACAATAGATCAAACTAACGATTGGCATATAATCAACAGTCGGAAGAGTCCTGGATTATGATAAAGAATTGATATTCGATGAAAAAAATCGACAATACATAGAAATGGAAAGACGACGGAGATGGAGCAACCACTCTCCGCCTCCGCCTGCTGCTAAATGACGGTCAGCGTCGCTCCGCCCATTGCTCAGGAGTGTGATGCGTCGGCGAGGCGTTCGCATCTCGACGGAGTATCGCTTCGTTGAATCCAATAATAGAGTCAAATGGGTCGACTTTGTCGACAATATTTTTCACACGTCAGGGATATCCTATCATTACACAAACAAGGGATTACACGAATGAATCTCTTCAATAAAAGAGTGACGACCTCATTGAGGTAATAGTATAATAATGGCTTTACGAATAGAAAGAAACTACACTATTCCTATCACTCAAGAAATCTTGAGCCTGAAAATGTGATTTACATCCTGATAAACTGATCTAATAAAGATGGAGCTTTCACAAGTATCTGGACTGACTCCCCCTCCTTGAAAACTCGGAACGAAGTCAGTCAGACACGAAAGAAAATTTCAGATTACGCCATAAGGGAAAGGGTCCCTTTATGGCCTAATAAACTGTAGTATGGAAGTTTTTCTTTTTGATGAGAATGAAAGCTTGTTGCACCCTTTCTAGATCGTCACTATAGTTTCCGCTTCGGTTGTCCTTCACAAGAAGTTGCTCGAAAATACGAGTTTATTT